GCGGGTGGATGACGGGTGGCTGGTGGTAGCGAAAAGTGGGTGGTGGTAGCAAGTGGGTGGCGAGTGGGTGGTGGCTGGTGGGTGGCTGGCGAGTGGTGGTGGCAGGTGGTGGTGGGTGGTGGTGGAGGAAGACAGTGGTGGAAAATGGTAGCGGGTGGTGGCTAGTGTTGGGTAAAAAAAAAAAACTGAAAACTCAAAACGGAAACACATTTTTTGAGTTTACATTTTTTGGCCAAATTTATAAACTGAGATCACTGATTTATAAATTAAAAATTTACCAAACAGGTTTTTATTTGAGTTTTTTAAAATTTTGTAAATATAAATAGAAAACTGAAAACGTAGTGTTACCAAACGGCACCTTAGCTTTTGTTTGGAACGTGTTGAATTTTTGATTTTTTTACTATCTAAGTTAGGATTAAGATTTTTTTTTTTTGAGATAAATTTTTTAATTTTTTTGATTTTTATAAGAGAAAAATTGAAATAATTATAATTTAGATGTCATATTTTATTTTATTGACTTTTTAATCAATTTTATCATTTTGTGACTATTTTAATCCCAATATATGTTGCCAAATGAAGCCTTAAGATCTTGTTTGCTATTGTTTTTATTTTGCAAAATTCTATTTTATGTATTTTTTCTCATAAATATTATAATTTTTTTGTGATAATGTTATATAATCTTCGGTTTTATTTTAAAAAATTGGAATTGATTTGAAAGTTTTATACAGTTTAAAGACAAAAAAATGTATTTTGGTTTGGATTCAAAACAAATTTTTACTCTTTTTTTACCATTACATTTGACCATCACCGATCGCCGCCATCGGCCATGATTGGCTTTCGGTGATCGGTTGATAAGTTCCAACTACTTTTAAGAGACTCGTCGATTGCTCTACTGGTTAGACAATCATTGTTCTTTATATTTTTACATGTCCTTTCATAAAAATTTTAAAAGACACTGAAAAGATTAAATCCCAAAACAAATAGATTTTGTTTTCTTTTTTTATATGGAATAAAAATTTATTTCTAACTATTTTTTGTAAAATGAAAACAAAAAATTGGTAACTTTATCAAGTGACACTTTATTAATTCTCTAGAAGCATAATGTATGCAAACATAATTTTTGCAAATAATTTTATTTAGAATGATGTTTGAATGTTTCTTTCGAATCAAAACATTCATTGTTATCTTTTTTTTTTCATCATTGATATATAATCTTGGTATTTGTTATCATTTTTCTTTTTGAAATAATAACAAAAAACTAATAAATTCTACTATCTAAACTAATAATTATAAAGTTAGAATGCATACTTACTCTAAGAACAAAGTATATTTTTTCATACGTAGTGAGCATAATTTCTCATACATGCTGTGCAATGCTAATATGGATGTCAAAATTTTAAAATATATAGATTAGATTTATTTGCAGATTCAACTCTTATTGAGTAGAGTTAGATACTATTTTTATTTTTATTTTTGTATTTGTTTTTCTTCTAATATCGGGATTGTATGTAACTAATAGTGGTTGTTAGGCTTGATAATTGTTGACTCTCTAACTATATTGGGTTAGTAATTTATTTGATATTTTTCATATTTATAAATAATTTTTTACTAATTGATAAAATAAAAAATAAAAAATACACAAAAATTTAAATGTATATCAACTACTGTCTTAACAAAGAGAGAGAAAGAGAGAGCAAAGCCTCTCTCACTAGGCGATTTTCAATGGTGTTTTAACGTGACTTTGGCGACTCCCTCTACACTCCTGGTGTATAGATGTGCAATTTAGAGTATAGATCTAAACTTTTTATGTCTGAAATAGGGATTTTGACAGTTTTCTCTTTCGATTTCGACATATAATTTTTTGATTTTCGACACTCACAATGATTTCCTCCTCTCTCAAGCCTTCTCTCACACTATATGTGGGTGTACTTCCTTCTTAATTCTAACTTTCGGCGGTGTCTATAGTTTGGTAGCGGCAATGGCGGAGATGAACAGTGGCGATAGGGACAACACCAACCAAGACGGTGGACTTTTAAGCAGATTTTATTTAGTTTGATGCAGATCTTACTTTTTAGATTACATTTTTGAGAAAATCAATGATTTTTCCTTTATCATAACTAATTTTTTAACGAATTTATTTTTTATTATTTGTTTTTTTTCATTTTATTGTTTGATTGAGATGATCTTTAGAGGTCTTATTTATATATGTCATTATTTATTAGGAAAATGTTTTGTGGCCCGAATCTGCCTGCCCCGAATTCCCAAAACGACGTCGTCGTTTTGGGCATTCCGTTTTTTTTTTCTTTCTTTTTTTCCGCCATTTTCGACCTTTGCAATGCAGAGGAAGAAAGAGAGAAAAAAAGGGAGAGGGAGAGGGAGAGAGAGAGAGAGGTCGCGTCGCCTGCGCCGATCGTCGCCGATCGCGTCGCCTCCGCCGATCGCGTCTGCCTCGCCTCAGCCTCTCCTCCTCCATTTTTTAGGCCCCCTCCAGTCCTTCCTCCCCCTCCCTCTCCCCCTCCCCTCCTCTCTCCCTCCCCTCCTTCCCTTCTTCGTCTTCCTCCTTTCTTCTGCTGAAAAGAAAAAAAAAATAAAAAATTAGGGACATTCGGGGCGTCCCGTTTTCGGGCCCCCAATCACTACCGTATTTATTAATAGGGAAATGATAGAGAGCTCTAAATATAGAGCTCTAATTTGAGCTCTAATGATGTGTCAAAGCAAAAAAAATAAAAATAAAACAAAACAAGACACAAATATCACATCAGGATGGGACCCACCTTCTCATTAGAGTTATTAGAGCTTCTATATTAGAGCTCTAAAGTATTTTTGTTATTAATATAAATGTTTTCACTTGCCAAAGGTTAATGTTGGTCTAGCAAAGCGTACGGTCTCAAGGCGCGTGGCATTTTTGTTTACTACTTGTCTAGGTATATCCTATTCCCTACTATTATTATTAGATATAATTATACATTTCATTCTTATAAGTTCACCTAAATTTTATTTTAATTCTTATTATTTTAATTTGATTTTTATATTTTAAGTTTAATTTTAATTTAATTTATTAATTTTATCTATGTATATAATTTATACATTTTAAAATTGATCAAGTTTTCAAAATTATTAATTTTAACTTTCAATTCGAATGAAAGAATCAAATTAAAATTATAAAAACTAAATTATTAAATTTATAAGTATAAAAATTATAATATATTTTGAATCAAATTATAAAAATAAAAAATGTAATTAACCCTTATTTAACAGTCACATGTCTGTAATTAGAGTAATATTATGGTACACAAATTCAATATTTGTACCATATACAAGTTATATCATTTCTGAGTTTGGATATCACAAATGACATAACTCAATATTGTGAGGGTTATAACTAAAAAAAAAATTGAGTTATAGTCAAACCTCACATAAAATATAATAAAGAATTCTTGAATTATAACTAACATTACAATAAATCATAACTAACAATATAATAAGGCCTCTTTTGAGAATAAATTATTTTAGCAACTTTTTACTAAAATATGTATAGAAAAATAACGAGAATAATATAATAACTTATAATGACTTTTTGACTAAAATATATGTATGACAAACGAGACCTAAGTCCTAACCAAAGACGGCAAAAATCGTAATTAGGGTGCACAAGACATAAAATTTCTCCAGTAATTATAAGACACTATAATATATAAAAGATTAATGTTTTGTAGCTCAAAACTTTTCCTCCCGAATCCCCCGAATGCCCAAAACGACGTCGTTTTGGACTTTTTTTTTTTCTTTTTTTTCTTCCATTTTCTAGTCGTTTTTTCATTTTCGTCGCAAAGAGGAAGAGGGAGAGAAAGAGAGAAGTAGAGGGGAAGAGAGAAAGAGAGAGAAAGAGAAGAGAGGTTCGCCGATCGCCGATCGTTGCCCAGCCCGGTCATCGTCGCAGCCCAGCTCCGATCATTGCAGTAGCAGCTCGTCGCAGCCCTAGCTCCGCCGTCGCCTCCGGTCCCGCTTCCGCCTCCAGCCCGATTTTGTTGGCCCCCTCCCCTCCAATTCTTCTCCTCATTCTTCCTCTGATTTTCTTCTTCTGAAAAAAAAAAAAAAATTGAAATTCGGGAGATTCGGAGGGCTCAAATTCGAGATCTCAATTGGGACTGTGTATAAAAATATATATATATAAATTATTTTCCTCTATTATACTATATATATATATACATATAATGGTGAAGGGATGTTAGGGGGATTGTTGATTGGGTAAAGAGTGGAGGGGTCAACCGTACCAAATGGGTTGTTTGGCAGTGGGATTCCCAAATGGCAGTTAGTGCTCAGTTGACTGATCAGGTGACTTCCCCTTCCTTTCTTGTGATTCTTATTACTCTGTTCCTCTCCGTAATTTATTGCGTAAAGGAATACGAGAACAACCACATACCCTGTCCATCAAATTTTTTTTTTTTTTTAAATTTATAAAAATATTTAAAATATATAAATTTTAGGTTATTCGATCAATAAGTTTAATTTTAATAAATTTTCTTTACCTCAAGGTCTACAGTTTAAAATATTTTGTTTGTAAAGATGAATTAATTATCCATATATATATATATAGTGGGTGTTTGAAAAGTAAGTTTTTTTGTAGATTTTTTTGGTTGTAGGATATTATTGGAGAAATTTTTTTTTTGTGTTTAGAAAGATAATTGAGTTTGTTTGTGGTTGAATGTGATGTTTGTGAAAAAAAAAGTGAAATGATTATGGGGTTTGATATGATATTTTGTTTGGATTTGTTTTTTTTTTTGTTTTGTAACCAATTTGTCTTTTAGTGAAAAAAAACAAAACAAAAAAAAACAAAAAAAATCCTTCCCAAACACTCTCATAAAGTTACAAATGAATAGAGCCGTTCGTAAACATGTCAGAGCCATTCGTAAACAGGTTCGAATTCGGCTCTGTAAAAGCTCGTTCGAACTCGATTCGTTAATTTTTTTTTTGCATTTGAGCTCGAACTCAAGCTCGTTAAATTTTTAATAAACAAATCCAAACAAAACTCGGCTCGTAAGCTCGGCTCGTTACCTGTCTCATTTTATCTTTCTCATTTAATATTTATTATTTATATATTAAATAATCTAAAAATATGTATAAAAAATAAGATAAATATGTTATTTATATATTTGAAAAATATAAATGTAAATAATAGTTAAATATAGATAGTACATTTATATAATAGTGGTAGTAGATATTATTATTTTGATAAAATATTAATTTTTCTTTAAAAATGTATATATATATTGTATAATCAAAGTTTTAATTGTAACTTTAGTCTCATACGCACATATAAATTTATAAATTTTTTAGCTCGTTAAGGCTCGTGAATAGAATCGAGTTGGAGTCAAGCCTAAACCAATTCGGCTCGAGTTCGGTTCGTCAAATTTTTATTGAGCTCAAGCTCAAGTTCGTTAAAATCTTAATAAATAAGTGCACTTTTTGTCTTTTTACGAAAAGATGTGCAGAAAAGTAGAGAGGTGATGTGATGGAAAAAAGATAAAAAGATAAAAAGTGCGTACTTATTTTGAGTAGCCAAACTTGGCTGCTTGACTCATTTGCAACCCTATGTATATAGAAAATGTTTTATAGCTCGAAACTCATTGCCCCAAATGGCTCGATTGTCGAAAACAATATTGTTTTGATTTTTTTTTCTTTCCCTTCCACTTCTCGTTTCTCTCTCAAAGGTTGAGAGCCAAACCCAAAAAAACAGAGAGAGAGAGAGAGAAGAAGAAGAAAGAATAGAGGAAGACCCAAAGTCCCTGAAATCGATCTCCTCTCACTTCTTCCTCTCAAAAGCCGAACCCTCTTTCTCACTTCTCAAACTTAGACATTGCCTCAAAACTCTCTATCTCTCTCACTCTCTCTCTCACAAACAACTTCGTCTTTATCAAATCGACATCAGAGTTGTCGAAGCCCACAAACTAGTAGCTTTCTCTTCAATGCCAAAGCTGCTGGAGCCCTCATTTTTTCCGTCTTTGTTGGGTTCTTTTATAGTAGCGGCGGATGGAATAGTGTGAGAATGTAGTGTTTGTTGGAATTTCTAGGTTTGGTGAAGATATGTAAATACGTTTGGGTTTGTATAATACCTTTCCTCTGCAAATTTTACTCCCATCTTCTCTCTCTCTCTCTATATATATATAGCTATTTATGTGTATGAATGATGAGTACAAGAGAGGAGAAAAAGACAATGGGGTTTTGGGTTTGGATTTGAATTCGAAGGATAAATGAATATGATTTTTTTTTTTTAAAATTCATAGCACAAAGAACAAAGCTTGATGCATATGTGAAGACAGAGATTGGGTATGATTTTATTTTTTTCCCCTGGATTCATAGCACAAAGAACAAAGCTTGATGGGTATACACATATATGTGAGGAGAGAGATTCGGGTCAAGAAACTTTCATGGTGAGAGTGAAAACAAGGACTGATCAAAATTGAATTTTGATTCTCTCAATTTTGGGTTTATATGATCTCTCTCTTTCTCTTTCTCTCTTCATGTGATGGGTTGAAGAAATTATGTTGGTGAAAGAACAAAGAAAATTGAAGATTCTTCTTCTTCTTCTTCCTCTAATTTTTCAAATTGCCCAAGTGGAAGGAAGAAGAGAAAGCTGAGAGGAAAAAAAAAGAAAAGAAAAAAGGTCAAAATGACGTCGTTTCCAACAATCGAGCCATAAGGGGCAATGAGTTTTTCGAGCTACCCAGCAGCTCCATATATATATAGGGTTTGTTTGGGATGTGGGTTGACTTTTTGACTTTTTGGCTATTTTAACGTGAGGCTAAAAAGCCTCGTTTGGAATAAATTTTTTGGCTTTTTTGACTTTTTTGAGAGAAAAATTAAAATGATGATGATTTGGATGTGACATTTTGTCGTATTGAATTAAAAATTTTACTTTGTCTTTTTGTGACTATTTTAGCAAAAAAAAAACCCCGTTTAGCTTATGCCAAACGAGGGCACAGTGTTTCCCAAACTAGACTATAACCAAACCTCTCTCTCTCTCTCTCTCCCTTCTCCTTCTTTCACTCATCGCTCCGCCGACTTCCTCCACCCATCGTCGATCTCCTTCGTCCACCGATCTTTTCTCTCTGTTTCTCTATCTCTCTTCTTCAGTTCATCGCTTCTTCTCCACACTTATTCCCCTATCACCGCCATTCCAAACGGCGATCCAGCCACCACCATCGCCAAGCCCACCACTACCACACTACCACATCAAGCTCTATTCCAACTTCTTCCCCGGTAGACACCACCACCACTACAACCCCATCGCCTTTGATTCCTTAGTCACGGATATCGAACGCAAGATCCAATCTGAACCCTAGTAGTAGCGATTGGCGAAGATGTTGAGTGTTGAAAAGTTGGAGTCGGACCAAATCAGATCTATGTACTATGAGTCTAGATCTAGACTTCAACTATCTCTTTTCTCATTTTTCTTTTTAATTTTTTTTTTATTGTAGTTTTTTTTTAAAGAAAGGTGAAAGGTAATATTAAGATGCTTGGTGCTAGTTCAGATGGAACATCCTCCATTCAAACTCGCAAATCAACATTATGAAAAGCTAATCTACTCAAACAATGAGCTACATAATTACCCTCCCTTCAAACATGACTAACCATAGAAAACATAAAGCCCTCTAGTAAATTATGAGCTGCACGAGCCAGATGCCCAAACCAAGATAAAGCCTCCCCTGGAGATTGAATTGCCTTTTGTGAATGTTTGTAAGGCACAAGTCCTTTGCAAATTGTAGCGAATACAATGCTGCTATGGCCTCCACACAATCAATATCTTCCCAATATGGAATCTCATCCAATAGCACAACCACCACCTCGCCGTGATCATCCCTTACAATAATTTCGATACCCGCCGACTTAAACCTTGCTTTCACCGACCCATCAAAGTTGACTTTGAAAGCACCTTCACAAGGCACTGTCCATCGGCATTGAGGACGACTAGGACTAGGCTCATTAGACAATTGTAGCACCTGTTTGTATTCATGAAGGTACTCTCCTACAAACCGTGCAACCTCCACAGCCTTAAGCTGCACATGGTTAAAGATCCTGACATTCCTCTCAAACCAAATGCACTAACAGACTGTAAATAAAAGCTCCATTTTAATTACCTTCGTCATGCACCTTTATCAGCTGACACACCTAGTGAAACACATCCATAATCGGTTCAATTTGAAAAACAAAATATAGCAGGCATGCATTCCAAACCATCAACGCAAAATCACAATTATGAAAATAGTGAGCCGTTGATTTTGAACCCATATTAGATCAAGGACAAACATCAACATCCACCACTTTTTTGTTGCGAAGATTAGAATTAACAGGTGTTAGTGATAATTACAAATAAAATATCAGAAAATACAAATAAAAAAAATTACAATAACTATTGTAAGGGCTGAGGCGCGGGAAATTCGCTCTCTTTAAGGAGATTCAAGCCCTCTGCGGTTAGGCAAAGTCTCACACCGGTGCAACAGAAAAAAATCTTGACTTGTCCCCCTCAAGATGCAACAGCCCAACTAAGTCGTATGGTTCACCAATACTGCACAATTGGTTGAACCCAAAGCTTTATCACATGCACCCTTTTTTATTTGCCTAATAATCTCACACAAAACATAATAAAGCAACAAAAACTTCTTCACCCTCCAAGATAAGAAGTTAGATCAATTTATAGAAGATGAAACTTGTTAGGCAAGTGGCTTGGAGGAGAAGACACTTAGTGGATAAGAATAGGAAATGACATTGGTGAGCAATTTCCTTGGAAGACTTGAGAAGAAGACTTGTTATGGAAGACTTGAGAAGAAGACTTGCCTTGGAAACTTGGTGCGCAAGTTTTCTTGAAGGAAAAGAAATGATTAACAAGTTATTTGGAGTCCAATCACATAATATAATCTATAACACATTATAATATTAAAATATCTACTAACATTCCCCCACCTATTTTAATATTATAGGTAACAAAAACTGAGATTATTAGGCAAATAAGAATATTATGCATCATGGTAGGTGTGCTCTGCATTGCTGAGATTATTAGGCAAATAAGGATATTATGCATCATGGTAGGTGTGCTCTGCATTGAACCTCCATTAGTGAAACAATAATATCTACTCCAGAGCCAATAGTATGCTCAGCATTGAACTATGACTACTTAAGGGAAATAAATAATTATTGCACACACATAATATTCCAGGTGTTCACAAAAGCTTTAAAAGCTAGCACATTACGGCCTTGTGCGATCCCAGGATTCATGAGTGTGTTTGAGAATTAGCCTAAATCTCATAGGTAGCGGCCCCACTACCACACTCACATAGGTGAGTTCTGTCAAGGGTCCTCCTGTAACTATGACACCCCACTCAATAAGAGCTACAGAAATTCATTAAGAGTTTTTTGATAACTCAACCTCTACAACGTTACAGAATAAATGCACTTACATCATAGGGATGGGTAAAAGGTAATTTAGTGCATTTCTCACGGCCATCATATGATCGTTTTTCTCATTGAACCCAGTTACAGGATCTCTTGTCCCTAGGTTGAGTTTCCTCATACATGGCTCCTGCTATATTCAATGGGCTTCAACTCCATCCCCCTCGATGTATTCCAAACTCTATCTCTTGCTAAGGCCTTAGTTAATGGATCTGCAAGATTATCATCAGATTTAATATAATCCACATTTATAATGCTATTATTTATATAAGATCTCACAGTACTGTGTTTTCTTCTGATAGGTCTGGATTTACCGTTATAATAACAGTTATTTACTCGACCAATTGCTGCAGTGCTATCGCAATGCATCAATATAGGTGGAATTGGTTTTTTCCAAAAAAAGATTTCATTTAACAAATCTCTCAACCAATTTGCTTCTTCACTAGCTGTAGCTAAAGCAATAAGCTTAGCCTCCATTGTTGAATTAGCAATAATGGTTTGTTTTTTCGATTTCCAACTTATAGCACCACCTCCCAAGGTAAATAAGTAACCAGTAGTTGATAATGAATCACCTGACAGGGTATTCTAATCGACATCATTGTAACCTTCAAGTACTGCAGGATACTTATTATAAAACAAGTCATATTTTATGGTACCAGATAAGTATTTCATAATACGCTTAATGGCTAGCCAGTGATCACTGCCCAGCTTGCTAGTAAACCTGCTAAGTACTCCAACTGCATAGGAAATGTTAGGTCTAGTACAGTCAGTCTCCTAACGCAAGCTACCAATCATACTAGCATATTCCTTTTGATTAATTACATCCTCATCATTTTCAATAGGAAATAAACGCACATGAGGATCGAAAGGAGTAAGAACATACTTGCACTTATAAAAATTATATTTTCTCAAAATTTTCTCAACATAATGCGACTGATCAAGAAATATACTATCACAGGTTTTGGTAATTTTCATTCCCAATATATAATTAACCTCACCAAGATCTTTCATATCAAAATGGCTACTAATCATATTTTTAGTTTCCACGATGATATGCAAATTAGAGCCAAATATAAGTAAATCATCCACATAGAGGCTAATAATGACATATGAATTTTCTTCAGATTTATAGTAGATCCATTTATCACATTCATTCTTTTTGTAGCCATTTTCAATCATGCAGAAATCAAATTTCTCATGCCACTGTTTAGGGGCCT